GCAAATGTGCACTCAAGAAAAATCACTTTAACATTAAAATATAAGATTTAAAAGATTCCATATTAAGGTGTGTCTTTCACTGTGCAATGACAACATGTGATTGCTGTCCACGCTGAATTCAATAAGTTTGAAATATACATATTACTTTATGTAGAAAATGCAATTATTTATCTAACTATTTGTTATTATCATATGGCAAATACTTACACAAATACTGAAAACTTTTCTTTTCAATGCATTTATAGGACTATTGCAATTGCAACTTTGACCTATATACTGTAGCCAACCCCAATCATACTAGAGGTTTCTTCCTTATACTTGTACTGTGCTGTGAATGGTGAAGCTTAAAGGTCCTGTATTACACAAAATTAATTCTTGTGACCTTTAATCCATGTTGTAATGCTGTTACCTCACCAAAAACATACCCAGAGTTGTGTTTTGTTTAATTCACACATGTTTGAGTAAACCTGGTTTATTGCTCTGTCTACGTCTCCAAAGCTAAAAATGCTCTGTTCCACCTTGCAAAGTCGTGTAATGGTAGTTTTCAAGTTAACAGCTACCTGTCACCTTTAGTTCAATAGATAGGCAAATCCAGGGCTAAAAATCCTCCAAATAATTCTAGCAAAGAAGTCACAGTGGAGAACTTCCTGTTTTACCTTCCTGTCATGTGATAACATGACATCACAAGGTGGAAAATCTGAGTTTAAATATGCAGTGTTTGTGTGTTAAACATGTGTGAATGAAACAAAACTCCATGTATGTTTTTGATAAGGAAACATCAATATAAAATAGACCAGAAAAAAGCACTATACAGGCTCTTTAAGTCTATTTTGAATTTGCAGTAATATATATACTAGTGTATTTTTACCAGTAAAAGTCATGGCCTTCAAATACTGAGGTAAACCTAAAACTGACTACTACTGCTAAGAAATGTTAAATGTTCTAGTTTGTTGTGTAGCTACTCAATTTTAAAAGTCATAGTTTAGAACAGTTACAGAACAGTTATTTTCCACATTTGCCTCAAACCACAAGCATGTGTTGGTTACGCTGGTATTAGAAACAAGAACATTTTATTAGCACTAATTAAGTTTTATACTCATTGCAAACTTTTGAGTCATGGTTAAATGTGAGAATGCCTTGTTGATGCTAAAAATAAACAGAGGGCTGAAACATGTCTGCTCAGTGCATTTCCTCTGCAGCTCTGCCCGTAAAGACGCAGGAAGAATAAACTTTAACTCTGAGTCACAGGAATTACCCAACAAATACTGTATGCACAACGGACCAAAGAAAGACCCTTGCAATAGAACGAGATATCAAGAGCAAAGAGAAGAGAGCGAAATTTTCAATATTGATGACAATGCTTGGTTGTTACTAAAATCTAACATTATTTACTTTTGATATTATAAGAAATTTTAATTACTGATACAAGTGGAAAACCATTACAGAGAACTTTTTAAGACTGTTACTGAAACTATTTCTATTTTAGTTTTGAAAGTGACAGTAGAAGTTGCAACTTGATTTATTGAGTGAATTCTTATACAGTCATTCTTATGAGGTATGAGGTAAAACAAAAAGAAAGGTATGGGCTACTATAGTAAACTTTGTAATGACGCAATTATTACATATGAATTTGTCAACAATTAAAAAAAAGATTTGTTCTACAGCGTGATTTGGATATTAGGCCCAGAATTGTTTGTATAGTCCAAATGAAGCCAGTTACTCAGTATGTTTCTTTACATTCAAGTTATGCCAGTTTAAAGGTCTAATATTATGTAAAACTGACTCTTGTGAGCCATGTTAGAATGTCACCTCATCAAAAACATACCCAGAGTTGTGTTTTCATTCATGCACACATGTTATCCTGCATTATTATTCTATGTACATCACCAAAGCTAAAAATGCCCTGTTCAACCTTGTGATGTCATGAAGCGGTAGTTTTCAAGTTAACCTACACCACCTAGTCACCTACATTTTACCTTTTCAGCCGAGACTGTAAAGATTGGCTAGAAGTTGGAAATTCCAGGACTGAAATCATCCAACTGATTCTAGTGAAGGTGTTTGGAGTTTAATGTGGGGATACAGGAACACTTCCTGTATTACCACATGACATCACAAGGTGGAACCCTGTGAGTGTTTTCTATTTGAGGGAAGAACACAGCCTAAATATGCAAGATCTGTGTTAAATGTGTGAATGAAACAAAACACAACTCTGGCAGTGTTTTTGATGAGGAAGTAACATTATATAACAGATCAGAAAATAACATAATATGAGCCCTTAAAGCAATGTAAAGAACTACTAAACATTGCATACATCACATTACATGTATCTTTTATTAGTGGCTTGACTGTTTACCATTCCTATTCTTCCTCCAGTAGAATATGAAATAGTCCAATACCTCAAATTTATCACCATTAGTCATTTACAAAGTACAGATCCACAGTAGCCTTATAGGCTCTATTCTAACTTTCCAGTCATTGGGGATAGAACCAGGTAATATTCCTGTATTGGGCTACTTATCGTCATCACTAATGACTAATCACATACATAACAATGACAGGCTACAACCTGTTCACCTTTTTTGGTACCAATGTCTTGAGTAATATAGGCTATAAAATGAAAGGTATATAGGTTACTGTAATTGAGGATTAGGTCAAGACACACAAAAACAATATAGGCCTATGTTTAAAGTGAACCTGGTGACTGGTGCCTGCTGTGGCACCCATGTTCTACCAGAAAAAATCCCTTCACCTCTTTATATTCCCCATAATCTAGTGAGATGAAATAATGGTGATAATGTAAAAGTCATCAGTGAAAGGACATCATGTCTGTATCAGCAGACTCTCCGTAAAATGACGGTTTGCCTTTTCAGCAGCTGATTATCGTCTCCATGGAAACAGTATTTTGGCACAGGGTCACAGTGGCTCTGGGAGTGCTGTACTACAATAACTACTAATACTTTTAGATTAATTAGAGTACTTATGTATATTCACATATAGCCAAAATGCAACTAAATATGCTGTTTAATTTGATTAAAAATCTGAAAGTTTTAGTTGAACAGAAGCCTACTAATTTGATAAAATGATGAATAGGCCCCTCCATCAACTTAAAGATGAAAAGATCGTAGTCTAAGTAAGCATCAATTACCTCAGTAAGCATCTATCACCTCAGTCAAGAAAGATATTTTTCTTGAACGTAGTTTTTTGCTTGTCTGCAGGAAATTTAACAAAATAGTGTGTGATTTTAATATATTATTTTTAGTAGGCCTGAGGAGCTAGTAACCAATTGTGAAAAGTAAGCATTAAGATATTTTTTGCACAAACACAACCATCATGATATAATCACCGAAATGTTAACATATATCCCATATTTTTTATTGTTTTAACTTTACTAATCTAGATCACTGACTGATACAAGAACTAACGTTAGTTGGCGACGCTGGTTTAGAGCAACTGCAGAGTGTGGCAGCATATGAAACAGTTTGATGAGTGCGTTGAGTTCATTTGTCTTAAAGAGGAACACATACATAAACAAGATTGGCACAGCGTTTTAAACAGACATAATGTGAAGAGAAGAGACAGCTGATTGTGGTTTGGGGCCTGTGCTTAGTTTGTCAGCTGAGAGTGACGAAGCAACTCTACCTTCACGACTCAAGTGACAAGTGCAGATTTAAGAAGAAGGGAGAGAGTGGGAGGGACACACCAGCAGGCCTGCGTCAGAGGAAAAAAGGGGAGGAGGGGGCTGAGAGGTAAAAGGAAGGAAGAAAAAGGAGACGGGCAGAGAGTGAGAGAGGTGAGGGGGCGTGGTTCGGGGAGTGGGGAGACGGGAGGGGTAAAGGGTGTAACAAGTTCATCTTGACCTGCTGATTTCTCTGGAGGCCATTTGCAAAGATCAGCCTTTAAATGTCTATGTCAGGAAACACACATTCTCTCTTCATGCTCAAGTCGATTTATCATTAGAGTATTCATTACTATTTTGCTGTACAGAACTTCTGTGCTTTTATAGTTATGGATGGCCTATTATACAAGCACAATGGGAATAGCCAAGTCGATGTAGATCAATTTTTTTGTTGCCTGGGACCCAAAATACATACTTCTTCAATACTCTAGAAGATGTGAGTCATCGATTTTCAAATGGGCATGATTGACAGGTGGATTAGCCAATTGGAGACAAGCATGGACTGTCTATATTGAAAATATAAAGGAACATATCACAGGGGGCTGAAAAACACTGCAGAGTTCTGCAGAATCAGTGAGAGAAACACTTAACTCTTTTTATCTGAGGTGAAAGAAATTTGATTCTATTTATAACCAATGAGCTTCTTCATTTCACATGTGACACTGAAAAAAAAAATCTGTAGTACTTTTTAAAATTATCCCTGTAATCTGATCGCAGGATCTCGTTTGGCTGGGCTTGAGACACTACAGAGGGCATGGGGACCAGACTTATATAAATCTGAAAAATCTAAATACAAAAATACAGAGGCACATGATTCTACATTTGCCAGGCAAATATTTAACTCAAATACGTAAGACTTTGTAGTTTGAATATGCTGCCATATATGAAACAGTATAAAACAGTATTGGGGTAGGCGTGTATAGTGGCTCATAGACATCTGATTTAACTATTTGAGCTACATAACAATTCAACTAAGAACACATTCTTCAAACGCTCGCATATAAGCACATGCCACAAGTAATTTTGAGTTCGACAAAATCTAAAATACTCTACTTATTCTCATATACTCTATGTGTAAGGCCTAGTCAACTGATTAAATAGTCTAATAGTTTAAGACATCCATGCGTAAAGTGTACAAGTGCTGCAGCGTGCTGGCGTCACCCGCTCTAGCTTTGACGTGCGGCTCCCGTGTCCGCCACCGACGTCATCACGCTGCCAGCTGATCGGAGGGAAGCCGGCTGCGTGTGTGGCTCGGAGATGGGTGTGTATTTGACGGAGACGCGAAAAGGGAGGGGGCACTGTAGAGAGAGAGAGGAGTGAGAGAGTTGTGTAAAAAAGGGGCTGAAGTCCTGCGAAGCTGCGATCTCTCTCCCCGGCAGACTACGTGCCAAAGTGCGCTCTCCAGAACGCCTTTAAAATACCTTCTCCAAAGCGCGTGTAGGCGAAGATGTGAAGAAAAACCCGGCTGAGAGTGAGTGAGTGAGAGAGAGAGCGAGCAGAGAAGAGAGCGGTGGGCGAGGCTCCGCGAACTCCTCTGGATCCAGTGGCCGAGAGGAGCGACCCAGCCCGCGGTCAAGGTGGGGCACTCGTACGGTTAGTGTCGGTCTCTGCGTGGTTGTGCTGGCTCTTTGCTGTTCTTATCAAGTGTGATTTAGCGTGTACCGACTGGATGACCTACTTCGCTGGTAAAACGATAACCCAACCCTAACCTAACGCTACTTTTACTCAAGTCTGAATAGCCTCTTCAAATCTTAAAAAAAAACATCTTTCTTCCCTAAGATTTCTTAGCATTTTACGTCGTGTGACTTGTGGCATACAAATGGGGTGCTTTAGGAGTTGTGGCTGCTGGTTAGGCCTGGAAATGTGTCATATAGGCTAGGCCTGTGACATGCATTGGACAGTGTGAGAAGATATTATCTCTCTATAAGCAATTTTAAATCTTTTTATATATCAGCAACACGTTGGTGAGTTGCAATATCATTTTGAGCAACAATTTGATCAGTATGATTATGAGTGGTCATTTTGTGCCTTAAAAAGCAGGCCACTAGACCCAACCCTGAAAAATGTGTCTGTAATTTACATAACATAATGAAATGCAGTAAAGATCTGTTGAATTCATTTAAGATGTCTTCATAATAAGTTATATAGATTGATGTGTAAAACAATTGAAGATTTAGCCTATTCAATAAGTTACAGTTACAGTAACACAAGGCTGGAAAAAGCCAGTGTGAACAGGTATAAACAGGAAGATAAGTCTAGTTATTTCTGAGAAAAGCTGCCAGACTTTAATCAGAGTCAAACCAAAGATGAGTCAAAACTTTGAGGAACAGGGAGTGCTTTTTAAAATCTGATGACGTAGGAGGGTATTCAGGCCCGACCACAATATCTACTACACCTCAACCAGTCTTTGCTTATGTATTTCCTGTATGAGAAATCAGGGTGGATTATGATGAAATGTACAGTTTTATGGGGAAAATGTCAGTCGTGTGCTTGTTACAGTGTAGCAGCCCTCTCTTACATAATTGTACAGGCAGTAGGGTTCAGTGCGCCGGTAGGAATGCGCAATAGGCCCTGTCACGAGATGCACTGGTCCCATTGCAACGCGGCCTCTGTGACATAAGCAGGCCCTATCAATGAGTATCACATGGTATAGGGCAATCTCACAGTTAAAGAGAAACTTGTGCATGTATGTATTTCCCAAGCTAAGTCCCTCTTCCTACATAAGCTGATGTGTGTGGGTTTGTGTGTGTGTCTTATTTGCAGAAGCGAGGCCATCTTGCTCAACCAGGTTACACCCTTCATTCCTTCATATTGCGTGTCTGTGTCAGAGGGGCAAGAAAAGGGATGTTAGGTAAAGGCTTGTCACGATGGGATTTTTTGCTTCTAAAAATATTATGATAAATGTCAATGTTCAAGACCAAATTTCATATTCTTATCAACACTAACTCCATAATATTTCAAGTACTTTTCTAAATGTAACTTAAATCATTTTAAATAATAGATTATCTGCAGCGTCATGTTAAATTTTAGTTTGTTGAGTCATAATCATGTGGTCAGACATTTTAGATCACTGGTAACTGCAAACTCATCCTAACCCTTGTGTTATAATCTTATGTCATAACATTTACAGTATTTTCATTTTCTCTTGAATATCACTCACATACATTGGTTCTTATATTGTACTTGTATATATACACATCTGTATATTTGTATTCTGCTTTTGCTTTTGCTATGTGTGTCCCTTGTGGATTCAGAAAGTATACATAGAAACGCATACACATTAAATAATGAGCAAACCAATTTCCATATAGCTTAAGTAAATATAATTATATTTGATGATAATAGGTCTAATGTAAAGCTGTGTATGTTTAACAGGAGCTCCACTGTTGAATGTAAAGGGTACAGTTTGCCTCAGGGCTGGTTTACAGGACACAGCTCAGTTCATCCCGGACATTGTGCATTTGGCGTGGCATTTAGCTTCTCCCCATGGACATTTGTGCAAGCCCTAGTGGTCACACAGGTTAATATTTGGATGGTACCAAATACAAAAATGAAGGCGCTATCAAACAGTGTGCAGTTATTCAGATGTGACTTTACAAAGCACTTCCATTTCCACCATTTATCCTGGCTTGGAACTGGCACGCCCAATATTACCAAACATCCTTTTTAACCAAATACACAACAATATAGTTAGTATATACATTTAAACATATAGTCATATCATGTATTTTTTGCACTGATTCATGGATTTGGCCAACAATTTTATGTCAGATGCCCTTCCTGATACAACTCCCTTCAATCATGTAGACTTAAGAATGGCCCTTACACTTAGATGGTTACTCCTAGTGTTAGGATGAAGTTTTAACACACTGTGTGGAGTGTAGCAAAACACAACACGCAGCAGCTAACTTTTTTATGTGTTATATGTTTTTTATATACAGGCCTGTGAATGAAGTTTGTTTAGAATAAGCTAGATCAGAAAATGGGACACCAGAAATGTTGCTTTTATAGCTGATCACATAACTCTTCTTAAATTCAAGTTATTATTATTATTTTTATTTATTTTTTTTTTACATCAGATGCCCTTCCTGATGAATTTTCCCATGCGTGGAACTGAGTTAGCTCAATTAATAAACTGACTTGTGCTCAATTAAAACTTTACTACTTGAATTTTGGCAAAAGAATATACAAAATACCAAGCCTTAGTAAGTTGCAACCAATAATTTGCCATTTGAGGCTATTTTGATCCTCTGTCCCTTCAGTAAAGCCATATGTCCAGTGTCTGTGCAGTAGCTGGATCAGATTGAGCACGTTTGCGAAGCCACCGCCCTCCTGCTCTGAAGCACAGGCCTGTCCCGCTGTAATCTGGGACACCGCTTTGCCTTCACGCCCTCAGCTCAGCCAGGAATGCACCTTATACGTAACTGGCCCGGGAGCAATTAATTAGCAGGTGTTGTAACACATATGTAATCATTTTTTTTCCACTTTTAGTAAAAAAAAAAAAAAAAAAAAAAAAAAAAGATTTAATTAGATAGACTGGCATAGCAGAAGGTAATATTAACATACATATCCTGAAATGTATCAGTCACAGAAAAACATGTTAAAACATCAGTAATAAAATAATCTCAGCTCTCTCAAAGAATATAGCAATCTAAGGTCTTAGAATATAAAAGACCAATTCATGTTTTCTTGTCTTTCTCTTCTGTGCTGAATTGCCACATTTTTTAACCCAAATAAACATAATTTATGTAGCAGATTTTATAAACTTACTGTTTCCAAAGTGCTCTAATACAAGCAATACCCTAAAAGAAGAATCATATTTAAACATAAAAAAATAAAAATAAATAAAAAAAACACTGAATAAATATTATATAGGTTAATAAAGTTCCACTATTGGGTTACTAATATTGTATTTTTTATTTTATATTTACCAGTGACATGATGAGCATCACGTTGGTCTCTTAGCTCACAATGACATGACCCCAGTATTAAAAAGGTCAGATGGTTGCACTGTGCTAGACCTGTGTGATCTGAATAGTTTCCAGAGTTGTCATATATTGAAATACAGAACAAGTCTCAAAATATTAAAAATCAAACACAATCCTGTTGCAAGTCAGAGATAAGTTACTGGTAAATTCACTGTGTCAAATGAGAAAAAATACCTACCGTATGTTATTATTTTCCCTGTACATTAATGTTTGAATCTGATATTATAGAATCTCTTTCATGTATTACCCATAAACCCCTTTTTCCATTAGCCCTCCACTGCCTTTGCCTTTCCCTTTATTTATGCTACTTGTGCATTGCTCAATTGCACCAGTGATTTCTGACGCCACGCGATGCTGCAGTCTTTTTGTGCGCGCCACGTTCTGTCCTGCTCTGGATCGCCTGGCCTCTCTCTCCTGCTCATGTCTGCACGTCCACAGCCTCAGATAAGAACGCCGTTTTGTGTGTTTGAATGCGCACTATCTCCTATACACCGTTGCACATTGTATGAAAAAACACGGTCGTCTCAAGGCCTTTTTTCGTGCGGGTTACGTGTCTTGGGCTGAGAGGAAATAGAAAGTCTGAGGATATGAGGTGAATCAATGACTTTGGGATGAATATTTGATTGACAGGTGGGGTCACTGTTTCTAAGCGGTGCCTCTGTAATGCACTATCCATGGGTTTCAGAATGATGAAAAATTTGGCCTGTTGCTGTAGCGTCTAACAATTTAATACTAAATATATCTTTTGAATGTGGAAAAGTCATATATAACTGGAAGCTAAAACTCATGAATAAGCAGTCTCAGTTCCAACAGATACTACATTACTTTTATTGTCTATAAAAGGTGTTTTTAATTATAAGAATGTTATCGAAATTGCTGTAGGGCATTTTCCTTTATATCAAAATCAAGTTAGATTTTTTTATGATTTTGTGACAACACTAATTTTTATATTACAATACAATATTACTAAATGCTGGTGAGTGGAACATTCTAATTTAAGACCAATTGTCAGATAGGGTCAAATGTATCAACTTCAGACACAAGAGGGCAGTAATGTAACAAGTGTATTCTTTTTGGTTAGCCCTATATTACAGGGTTATGGTACCTTTACAGTTGTAGCATATCTTATGAAATATAAAAGAGGAACATGATTGTTCTCAGCTCTATTTAATATTGAACAATTAAGAAGTGACCCTGTATAGCAGCATGAATCACGCATTGTTCCAGAACTGTAAAAATAAATACATTTATGAAACTGGAAAAGGAGGAGTGAGGAGTCGGTCGAGCCCGCAAGTCGGATGGAATTTCTAACATACGCAGTGGGAATGTCAGGAATGCAGGACAGTCTGATCTGAGAGAGAGAGTGAGAGAGTGAGAGTGAGAGAGTGAGTGAGAGAGAGAGAGAGAGAGAGAGAGAGAGAGAGAGAGAGAGAGAGAGAGAGAGAGAGATGGGGAGGGAGAGAGATGGGGGAGAGCTGGGGGAGGGAGAAAGGGGGTGGAAGGGATGGAGAGAGCGAGAGAAGAAACTGAAAGAGACAAGAGAGATGAGAGAAACAAGAATTTAAAGACATGACATTATGCTTATTTCTGTGTATTTTGCATTATGACATATGTAAAAATCATTAAATTACATTTTATTCAGTGCAAACTGCACTATTGATCATAAATGGCTCAATAATAGAAATAGGTCCATTGACTTCCTGTTCAAAACTGCAGAACAGCTCGGGCCATCTCTTCATAGTTGCATTTCACTGTAGTAACCTCATTTTCATGTAGTTGCTTTTAATTTTGAAAAATGTGTACATAATGTAACATTTTTAAACTCCTGTATGTCTCCTTGCCTCCTTGGATATGTTACTACCTTGTCTAGGATGTTCCACAGTATGGCATTAAACTGTTATATTTACAGATCAGTTACAGGTCAGGTCTGTGGAGAACAAGATAGCTCCTTCAAGAACAAATAACTGTAGCTCACAACTCCATCTAGTGGTTCAAAGTGATATCACACACACATTTCATGGTCATGAATTAGTCATAAACTATTTGCAAATACCGCAGTTGCACCACTTTTTCCATTTATAGTGATCTCACTGTAAGTACAGTTCCAGATCCAGGATAAAGATCATCTCTATCATATCTAACATAGTTTGTGCTGGACCCAAGATTCTTGTCATGAAGAAAGAAAAGGGCTGTTCTGTGCGTATTAAAATACCTCTTGTTCAACTGAACTGGTCATAACCTGCTTCACTGATGTCTCGTTTCAGGACATTATGATTAGACTTATTACATTATCATCTCAGTGTAATTACTGGAGATGCCCCGACTGAGTTTAATAATCACGATCATTCACTCTCACCTGACAGCTGGAGCCAAATAAACCTACAAATGCAGTTTTACTTTTCTGTCTTATCTCTTTAAATCTCCTGGCAGAAAATTAGTTGGTAAGGGGATGGGGTTATCTCAAAATGAATTGCACTGTTGCATTTACAAAGATAAACTACCACAGATATTTTCTTAAAGGTGCACTTTGTAACTTTTCTTGTAGTGGGACTGCACCTGCTTGTCTCTATGGAGATGTCAGAGAAGAATCCTGGCGTTTCAGTTGTGTATAACCCAAACCATGTGTGTGTTGTGTTGGATAGTCCATGCACTTCACACTGACATGAGCAGCCAAGGCGCCTCCTCAAAGTTTATTCGTTGTGTTAATTTTCTAAATGGAGCCATTTTGTGTCAGACTCTCCTCCTGTTACTGAGACTTGTGGCATATAATTACAGAAAGAAGGATGAGACTGCAGACAAAACAAAATGACACCCTCAACAAAACAATTTTATGTGACACGTGTTTGGCAAATAAAGTTTTAAAAAACAGTATTAAAGTTAATAAGTTAATAATAGAAAGGTTTTTGCAAGTCACGACAGGCAAAGAGGAGAGGCAATGTGTCATGGTTTCAAATGAGCAATTCAAAGTGGAAAAGTACAACCACAAAGTTTTGTTTTGAATTTCATCTGTGAATTGTTGAGATTTTTGGATGGTATAATGACCCACCCCATGCTGAGAGCTGTCTGCAGCCCTTGGGCAGTCAAAATACCTCACAATATTCTGCCTCTTAATGCTTTAGGAATGTGCAACTTGTGTGTGACTCCAATGAGGGAGAGAGGTTTTCCACAACATCTTAACATCAAGATTTTTAGCATCAAAATTATGACTCAAAACAAGACAATTTTCATTACAACATTCATTTTTCAAACCATTTAAAGTCTATTTTAAAGCTAATAAAAACCCAATTTATCAGTAAATTGTGAAATTATTTTTACACATCTACAAACTAGATTTGCACATCTAGATATCCATTTTGGGCACACAGTGCAGCTTAGAATTAATAAAAAACTTTTGTTGGAACGTTATCTTATTTAACAGAATGTCTTGAATGTTTTAAATTGATGGTCATTTGCTGTCAACTTAATTTCTACTTTTCTCTGACACCAATTCAAAGTATCAGTCCACTGTGCTACTTGACCTTGCCACGCACCAGTTTGTCTTTTTCAGTGTGCAGAAATACCTTGTTGTATTGTTAAAAATAGAAAATGTTACTATATTATTTGACCCCCACTGAAGTCCCAGTATAAGTGCCCACAGCTCAGTCATCAGAGAAGAAGTCATTTTTTTGTATTTCTAGGGCAGTTTTCTCATTCTTTGCGTAACCATGGTAACTAGACCAAAAGATTATCCCTACCTGGGACCTTAATCTTGAAATAATAGCTGTGTAATAGCTCAGATGGAGGGCCTGGGCCTTTTAGATCTATGGCAAATGTAGTTTTATTTTTATTTATCTATTTGTTTATTTATGTATTTATTTATTTTATTGTTAAAGGTTCAGTTAAAGTTCAGTAATTCCAGATACAGTATATTAACTATAAACAAGATCAAAACACCTGCATTATGACAGTCAGTGGTGGATGGTAAGTACAAGTAGGAAAGTACTGTACATGTAGAATTTTTAGGTATTTTTTGGTAAGTACATTTTGCAGTGGATATCTTTTACTTTTACTTCACTACATTCGAAAGCTATGTCCTTTCTACTCCACTACATTTTTGACCTAGTCTGAAAAGTAAAAAGTACTTTTCAAATGATTGTAGGGGTTATTTTCACCATGTCTGTGGTAACATCCTGACCAAAGAAAGAAGAAACTGATTTGTATTGCCACTGTTGATCAAAATATGCTTTTTTTTTTTATATGTAGTACTGCTACATTTTAACAAATTAACACTTAAAATATGTGAAATACTTTAGTTTTTACTCTTTAAGTACATTTTAAATGGGGACTTAAGTCTTAAGTTTATTTTTTCAAGTGATACTTTTAGTTTTAATTTAATTACTTTTTACTGTTGTGTCTGTACTTTTACTTAAGTAACAACATTGAGTACTTCATCCACCACTGCTCACAGTTAAAAGGCAAAATCTAGCATCGAATTCTGACCAAACCTCCAGTTCTATGTTAGCTACGTGCAGCATGTGAGTGTAAGGCATTGCGGATATCTATAGGTTTTTTTTTTATTGAATTGTGTTAAAGGACAAAAATGTAGTTGTGCATGTTGGAGTCATGTGGCTCTTCTTATTTGTGCATTTCAGATGATTTCACTTAGTTACTCACAGCTCAGTGCAGCTCACTGCAACCTATTTACTGTACAGCCATGAAAAATGCATTATTGTCTTTCATTTACACAAAGTTAACCAAACTGATTTATTTCACTTATTGATAGAAGAAGAAGAAGAAGAAAAAAAAAGTCAACCAGGGCTTAATCAAAACATAACCCAAGAAAGCCAGGACTAAATCAGGACAAACCCAGATCTAAACCAGGACTAAACATAAACTAAATTGTAAAATAGGACTATACTAGGATTAAACCAAGATTAAACTGGATCTCAAACAAGCTCTAACACTGGATATAATATAGTCCTGACCGAAATGCCAAACAACCCCCAACTTAACGAGCACACAAAGATTTAACTATAAAACTCATCTCTCTTTTTTTTTCCAGAGTTCATTGTCTAGCTTTGGGGAACACAGGAAATTAAATGTTTCTTCTTTGTTTTTCTCTGACAGAAATGACTCTACCTGAAGCTGAAGACGACGTGCAACTGGACACGGTTGATCCAAAATGGTGGACACACAGCGGTTCTTCACTGGCGAGCTTTATGTTGGTGTACACATGCTAAAGCTGCCAGCTGAAGAACTGCTCTGGTCTGCCCTGCCCACTGACAAGAACATGATGACCATGAGAAGAAGAGAAAGAACTACAACATATATGATCATTGTATTTACATTATATTGCATAGATTTTTATGGAAAATAGTCCTGCAAATATAATTAAAATAATACTGAATACAAATTTGAGTGGTTTCAATTAGAAAACTGCATATGCTACAATTATTAAAGAAATGTAACTGAAAGACTAAATGGTGACATTTATCCACCTTCAAGGCATGCAAAACACTTCAAGGGACCACTCACATTCATACACCAGTGTACGCAGACACTGGGGTTAAGGTGGGTTAAGTGTCTTGCCCAAGGACACAACAACAGCATTCATCTGGAATCACCAACCTGTGTGTCAGTGGACCTGACCACTCTATCACCGATGTGCCAGTGCCAATGTGTTTATGTCGAGAGTGGGACTGGAGCTGCCAGCCTTCGGATCAGTGGCCAAACATCATACCAACTGAGCTACTGCCGGCTAAATATTCTATCCCCATGATTTATGTATAACTGCTGACATGGTAGTTTAGGCCTGTTTAAAAATGTTCTGAAATGTATGTGAGTTGTGTTAGTAGATAGATTAGTACTGAATTTTAAAAGTGGCCTACAAACTATTTTCTGATGGGGGTCCATCACCTGCTTGTTTCTATTGAGATGTTATTGCTTTTCAACAGCAAATCACAATCACAACTTTGTTTGTTTACTTGTAACTGTGGTCTAATCCATGACAACAGTAATGCGGGTAAATTACTCTACCACAAATTCTTAAATAATTCAAGCTATTGGCATCACATTTCTTAAATAATGATTGTATTGATCCTCACCATGACAAAGCATCTCACCCTCATGTTTATGGTAGATAAACTGCCCCTGCTGAATAAAAACAGTTCAATCGGTAGTTTTGTGTTTGCATTATTCAACAGATAGACATTTTTATTGTTATAGATTGAAGGTCTATAGTTTATGCTTATTTGTAAAGGCTATAGATCTCTATAGCCTTTACAAAGAATTATTCAGGATTATTCAGTTAAGCATTAATTGTGGTAATTTAGATAAATGAATAGATAGTAATGAAATTATTTGACACTTGAACTTTACTTAATTGTTAATAGTTTGATTTGATGATGCTGCACACCATAAACAATGTGGTCGCTACATTTTATAGTGTAATAGTGACATCTCTAGTAAAAGCTCAGCTGTGAGTTAGTGGCCTGTTCTGACCTGTTCTTGCGAGACTATGAGAGGCAGAAACAGACCACCAAATACACTCACATTCATTCAGCACACTATGAACAAGTTGGAATCATGTGGATGTTGTTACATTATCACAAGTCTTTAGGTCTTAAGTTTGCACAGGATTGTAGTTTCAACTGCAAAAAGGTTAAACTTATGAGTACTTTTTCTTAATCAATTTCTGTTTGTCCAGCTTCTGATAAAAGAGAACTCTCAATCTCATAGACATGTAAAACATTAATGGAAATCTGTAACCAATTTATTTTCAAATCAAAATAACACCCAAAATGTTAAATCAACCATTCTGAGAAGAATCTGGACCAGATGGTACCCCAAACCCACAAATATAAAAATAATCCAAAGATTTAAAAAAAATTACTAGAAATTTTATATATCTACCTGGATTTTTTTTTTTTTTTTTTTTTTTGATTATTACAATCAGAGTACAGAGTACAGAGTGCAAAGTACAGTTAGATGACAGCAGGGGTCAAAAGTACAGAGCTTCAGCTTCACAAAGACTCCAGCCATTTGGCTGTGCTCCAAAGGGTTCAGAAATAGATTCTGTTTGAATTGCGAGTCATCAATAAGGCCATATACTGTCAATATTCATATTCTATAAAAGCCTATTTTAAGGCTCATTCTACCACATTTAACATAAGTAATCCCAGTGATTATGTTACCAATTTCCTTCCCCGAGACATTCATTTTACACAGTTATTGGCAGTTCCTAAAACGCCCAGAAGACGGCAGCATAACTGAAGAACAGTCACTAACGTCGCCTGTAACAGGTTTGCAACTGAGTGGAGATCATTGAAAGGTACGCCGCAAATGAATATCAAGATCAAAATACGAATTTAGGCTGACCTGAATCCTCTTTACTATAGTTATACGTTTAACGAAATCAACAACAACAACAAAAATCACCAAAAAATAGCGTGACTAAACTTCATGAAGTTTTAAATCTTAATGGAGTTTCTGGTGCAATAAATGCAGTGGTGCAGCCCTGAGTCAGCGGTGTACGCCTCTCAGAGTGTGTGGTCCAAGTTTAACAGTGATGTGTTCACCCCTCCCCTCTATCTCTCCTGTAGATGCTGATCCAGCCGATGCCGCCGCGCGTAAATGGAAAGCTTTTACGCACCGCGCGTTCACCCCAAAAGCGCTTTAATCGTGTGGGAATTTTTGCACTGTCACACGACTTGCGTGGTGCCTAAGTAGACTCTAGACACTGTTGTGTGGGGATGAGAGGGGTGCGCTAATTCCTTGCTACAGGAGGCACAGGGAGGCGTGCGTCCGGACGGTAAAAGCGAGAGCGATTCAACGGCAATCTAATTCCATTCAGTGATGAAGGCTTATATGGACTAAAATTCAAAACAATCTTGAACATTTTGGATTGACAGGGTCTCTCTTCAGACGATTATCCTAATGGAAAACAACTAAAACCAGAGTTTACTTTTACACAGAAGAAGCGTGCAACACGCCTATCGCACTTTTAACCGTCAGTGATGGCCATCAACACTGACGCCACTTTTAAGAAGAGCGCCCTGGGGGAGCGCGAGGCATCCAACCCCAACGAATTCCAGGACACCGAGAAGTTACTGAGTGCCGGGACGACGGAGCCCACGGGGGAAAGCAATCTCAAAGAATCAGACTCGTTCTCGCTCAACATCCGCGGCAGCGTGCGCTCCTTGGATGCGGACCAAAATGGGTACCGATCGCCTCTAAAGTCTGGATCAGTGGGACAGCTGGCGGCCCCACCCAAGTCCACATCCCGAGTGAGCCTCGGCCCTCTTCCCTCCCCGGTGCCACCTGGGCCCCCCCCCTCCAGCTACTTGTGGCTGGCTGTGCTATCCTGCCTCTGCCCCGGGGTCCCATTCAACATCTGTGCGCTGTGGTACGCCAGTGTGGTGAGTGAACAGTAGTTCATTATTGTGTCTAGATGGGTTTAAGCATTAGCACAAAGATAATACCTCAAAAACAATAAAATTACTGACTGCACCCCTGACCCATGTGTGCGTTAATGTAACAGAAGATACTGAAAGTCATCAGCATCTTTAAAGTATTTACCATGAAAGATATTAGCAACACGTTTGGTAGTAATGAATCAAATTTGAACCCCCTTTACATATAATATATAATATATAATATATAATATGTGCTTCTAGATTCGAGGGTTTATTTAGGCCTCGTGTTTACTCTATCTGTACTTAATGTGTGTTAAGAGCTTCCATGACAAGTGAACCTCTCTACTGTTGAGAGGTCATCAAAGTTCTTTTTTCATTTTTGCTCTTAGTCCAAGTCGGTACTGCTCACTGGAGACGTCGCGGCCGCGCGGAAGTACGGGCGTCGGTCGATGCTGTTGAGCTGCCTGGCCATCCTGCTGGGTGTGGCAGTCATCATCTTCATCGTGGTCGGATTAGGTACTTAGAGCAATGGGTAGAATGCATTACATTGTAGCTCAATACTACATTAAATCCTGTGTTGAAGTACTCTTGTCTGTTTTTCCTCAGAGTATCAACATTCATCCAAGTAACAGCCTGGCATGAGCGGATTCATGTTGTTTTTGAAAAAGCACAAAGAAACCAAAGACTTTACCGTTCCTCATGTGGACACCAGTCTGTTAATTTCCCTCAAACCTACCGTGGGAGGTTAAGTATGGACCGGGTGCCATTTTGAAGGTCGTGTGGTGCATTGAAAAATATGAATGAACGCATTGCAAGAAAAACATAGCCTATTCCTGTCAAGATGTGTTCCTGTCAGGAACTGCGGTGGATGTAGAGGCCATCACAAAAATAAGAAAGTTTAAATCCACCAAACTAATTGACAAGGGTCACAGTTTCAGTCCAGAGTGGTTAAATATTGGCTTCCCACCCTCCAAAAACATGCATGTGATAGTGTACAAAAATGCGACTAACTGTTTACAACTGAAGGTGAGAGTGAAGAGCTTTTGTATCTGTGTCAAACCTTGGACTAACTGTTCACTGACCGAGCCACATATGTTGGATCGCTTTCAACAACTCATTTTCACATTTTCCTTTAGATAGTTAAAATTGCATAGTTGCATAGTAAAACTCAACTCAAACTCAATAATAATAAGTTTAAAGGTGTGCTGTGTAACTTTTCTGGTGACTGATTCACCACCTGTTTGTCTTCATGGAGATGTTATTGCTTTGCTTCACAGATTTGACCTTTAACTTGGCCTGGCGGGGTCAGCCACTGGTCTCCATGGATTTGCATGCAGATTTGCTTTATGGTGTATAGTTGAATATTCCAGACAAAATAATAATATCTTCATGGTGACAAGCAAATGGCGGCTCCTCCACCAGAAGAGTTACAAAGTGCACCTGTACATTACTTTCATAGAAATTACAGATCATGATGAATAATAAAAAATCACTGTATGTATTTTTCATTTTGTGCTTCATTTAGACACTAAACAGACTGTAGTGCTTGACTGAACTGAGCCTTGTGTCTGAATATTCTGCTATTTAAATGAATTGGGCTGTTTACTGTATGCACTGGTCTTGGCACTCCATCTCATGTTTCTACATTTATACTGTGCGATTGTGCCATAGGTTTTGCATGTTGCAAATAAAGTCCTGAATGAGCATGACCCAGTTAAAGTGTTTTATTAGGCAATGCCACTGAGACAACACAAGTAAAAGTTCTGTATATACATAGTATGCAAGCAGCAATATGTAAAATATATTTGTCTTACAAATAAATATAGCACATCATATTCATCTAAATTAAGACTTTCCTTCCCAAATAAGTGTAATACAAGCAAAAGTATTGCAGAATATAATGGTATATGGCATAAGACGAGTTTGCATCAGTGGAATGTGTAGAGCAACAGGAGGATGGTGCAGACACCAATCACTGTGCCCAGAATGAGAGAGTCCCTCCGTTTTCGTAAATTAATTTTTTGGATGAGGCTGTTGATGGCAGGGAAACGGTCTGAGGAAAGGAGTCAAAGAAAATAAGTGAGAAATCCTTTGTGAAATCAAACTCCAAAAACTGGAGTACCATAAGTTACATAAGATCCTTTTCTAAAGTACCTAAGTTTAACCGTTAAAGTAAAACATTCCAGTACAAGAGTAAAAAAAAAAGGTCATTTTCAACTGTATTGTTCCGATAGGCACCGTTGTATAAAATGCAAGTAATAATAAAGTACTAAAATAAGTTTTAAAGTAAGGCTTGACACTACATTTTTGCTGCTAAACTTGTATGTTGTCTTTTATCGTGAGCACTAAGGTCATTTGTTGCTTTGTTGTCTAAAATAGTAAAAGTGTGTGGAGTCACACAAGGCCACTACATTTCAGGACAATGAAATCACACACCTCTGTTTTGATTAGAGATAACTGCCTGAAAAGGTAGAGTTTATGTCTGTCAAACCAAGTACTACCAACCAAGTGGTATTTCAGGGGATTAATAAAAGGATACTGGCCAAAGTTGTTACTCTGGTCTGAATGGACTTGAGCACCCCGCGCTGAAACGTCATGTTCTCTTTGGTTGCCATGGCAATGCTGAGACAGAAAATCACCACATTGTTACTTTATTAAAAGTATTTAAAAAGAGAATACAGAAAATACTGCTAAAATACTGAATTATTCTCCTGCTTCTACCATGGGGTAAAATCAACTCCCATCATGGTTTATACAGAAGCATTTTAAAGTCACAGTATGTATGCAACTGTTTAGTCAATAAATAGTGGTTTTGATATGGATGTGCAGAGTGTGTGTGTGTTTGTGTGTGTGTGGGGGGGGGGGGCACAGTAGCCACCATTAAGGCTTACCTTATTGCATTGTCAATAAGACGGTCAGAGCTGTGAACAAGGACAAGTGGAAAAACAGAGAAATGAGATTCAACATGAACAAAATCCTCCCTCAAAAATGTTTAGCCTCTTTACATTTAAGAGAGAATTAAACATGTACAATATTGACAATACACTGGTTAGAATATGTCAATGTCAATTCAATTTGGCTTAAGAGTTTTATGGGATGAATGAGCTTTTTAAAGGGGCAACATTACTTCCCTAACCACAGTGTAAAACAATACTGCTATTTGTATAAAGGATAAAGTAGAGCTATGAGTCAGGTGTAATGCATAATCTCGTCTGTGAAAGCCAGGGGCGTGGTGTCTCTGAGGATCTGTATTTAGTCTATAGACCAGACCTGGTAATATAACACTTGAGGTAGAAAAAACAAACTGTGATTTTTTAATAGAATATTTATCTGAGGTTTACATTCTGGGGGGCTTTATATTCTTTCTGCATAGCAGCTGTATCACAGTTATAACAACTACAACAGAAGTACACTTTAGAAATTAAGGTGTACTATGTGGAGAGTCTCTTGCCTTATTGTCTTATGAAAAGGTAATCATTTTGACCTGGATTTTCAACAGTATGGATTAAAGTGATCTTATTTCTCATTTATTCAATTCTAGGAGTTTAAATTGCAGTTTTGTGGAATGATCTGTTTGTCTCCATTGAGATTGCTAAAGATTATGCAATTTTGTGAAACATACAGGCAAAACCACATAATTTTCATTTATAATTAAAATCAGAGTGCATCTTAAATCCATATAGACGATGTGCAGAAATTTAAGATTTGTAAAAAGACCATTTTCATGTAAGCCTAATAGGTGTGGTTGGAGGACTTGGAGATTTGCATTTTTTGCATGAATTAATGAATCACATGTTAATAGCATCTTTAGAAAAATATATAATGTTACCTGTCCAATTTCATTTTTAGCTACTGTATGTGGCTAAAATATCTTTGTAGATTGATCTGCAGCTTGGAAAGATTAATAATGATAAACTGCCAAAATGCTAGCATGAATTTAAGACTGAAGTTGAATTGTAAAGTGGGAAATAATGTTGTTCAGAGAGCAAAATGTACTGCAGTGAATAAAGTACTCATGAGTCATGGCAACGTAGGAGGTGGTCAGAGCAAGGAGTAAAAATGCCTCTACTACCTCCATATATTGAATACTGCTGAGGAAAACTACTCCTATCCAAAGCTGATCTACAGAAAAAAATAATAATTAAGTGAGATATTGACCAACTCAAATATACCAAGTACTAAGTACATTACATTGTTTATATTAGCTTTACTGTACTAGCTACTGATTTTCTTTGCAATAGTGACTCACGGATTGTATATGTTCGCTCTAAGTGTAGCATGTGTTGTCAGGCCTATAGGATATGTACATGGAGGGCCTACATCAGCTACCATTAGCCCAGCACTAAGTGACGCTTTGAGGCTGGAGTGTTCAGAGCAGAGCAGACTCCATTGGAGACCAAAAATCAATACAGCTTTATACTTCCTCTGTCTGTCCATCCTCCTCCTCCTCCTCTCTCCTCTTCTCTCCCACTGATCACAACCCCACCCTACCGCATGTGGAATACTCCAAACTTGGAAATAAAATATTGAATCAATCAGTAGTTATGAAACAATACATTAGACAGGTTTGGTTATAATAAGGGCTTAGTTTTGTTTTTTCGTTTTTTTCATTTTACAAAACATTCAACATTAATTATTCATTTAAATTGGCTGCCAGATCCAAATATATACAAATAAATACACTTAAATCATAGATTTAAATTGTATTATTTCTATTTGAATAGTAGAATTCATATTTATTCTTGCGAGAGGCCAGAATATACTCTTTTTACCTTAAGCAATACTTTGTAACTCAACTTTTTCCACATTTATAAAGAGTGTGGATTTCAATTGGGGATGTGAGACGGACAGTATTCCCAGTGTGGAGGCTTTCATATCAGACCATCAGTTGTTTTTGGACATCTAACATTACACCTCTTACACAATTACTGCTGGGACCACATTTATCAAAGTAAATAAGATCTAAAACTATTGTATTACATGATTTGTTACTGTAAATAAAGATCTGGTAATTTCAATTGACAACTCCCAGATATAATGAAGTCATTTCTGACTGTCTCTTTATCCCCTCCATGCGCAGCATTGTGCCTCACAATATTAATGAAGTGAGTTACTAACATGTAACTCACTTCATTAATTGATTCATTAATTCATGGACAAGTGATTTAAGAGAGGGCAGGCAAATGAATTGCCCAGATTTTCCCAGCAAGTGAATATTAGTTATTTACAATAGCAGTACATAAAGTGCAGTAGTTCAAATTTAAACTTTAGAAGTTAATATTGTTTATAACGGCAAGGATTAAGAACATGCAGTGCACCACCCTGATACACGTAACGGTGAGTGAATAACTATTTGGGTAGGTATAATTCGTTTTAAAGATAAGCCTCTCCCTTTAGTTAGCTTGTGTTTTCTATGTTGACTCTTTCACCTTATTCTTTCCCACAATTATGGGGCTTTGTAAAGCTCAGATTCTCTGGATCATCTCTTTGGTCTCCTTAGCCCATGACCCCTCCCACTACATATGTTACAGCACAAGTCAATTAAGAAATTAAACCAAAACATTGCTCTTGACATGTTACACACGCTGAGTAAGCAGAAAGCATTAATGTACAATTTAGAGGAAATGTGAGCAATAAATTATTGCAATATATCAAAATGAGATTCTCTGAATCTCCCAGGAGATTTATGATTCACTGCATTTCTGCAGATCTCTAACACATACCAGTAGGCCATGCCATCTACTTTTCCCTACTCAGTTCTCTTACTGGTCAGTCTCTTCCATGCTGTGTGACTGACAGGTAAATTTTACCTATCACAGGAAAGTGCAAAGTAACTATGTAAGGCAATATAATATTATTACTTGTACATACTGTACATCTTGTTAAAATTTTAACTGTGATTTAGTACTTGAATTTTAAAACATAGGCAAAGGCTGATAATTAGCTAAGTTGACCTTATGGTAAAATTTTATATAAATGAGTACATAAAAGTCTATCACTTTAGCCTTTTGGCTGATTCTCTTAAGTAAATAACTTTCATTTCACACAACTTACTTCCTGAGATGTTCGTGCTCCTTCAGGAAAAGCTCGGTGCGTCTGTTGTTGACTCCAGAGCTGCTTTTGTATGACCTGCAGTGAAAGGACAAAACGCAGATAAAGAAAATGAGATTGACTTTCAGACGGAAAGAAGATACGGCTCTGAAACTTCTTTAAAACAAGAAAGTGGGAGATATCAAACTTAATCTTGGCAGCAACTGAGCCCTGAGCACTACACTTTTAGATCACTGTATCCCCATTACAAGACACATTTGATTTTAAGATACTGTGGTTTTCCAGGCATTTGTATAGCCACTCTTTTGGGTTTATCTAAAAGATTATCTGAAGTGAATGCAAAGTGAATTCAGTTGTTATATTAATTTACTGGTAGGGCTTTTGAAATTCAAATGCAAGAAAATGTATGATGCATTTTATATAATGCTTCATTTTGTATTGTGCAAATTCATGAAATCTTAGGGATCTTGCATAAAATGGATAAATAGGAATACTGTACACTGGTTGGAGCTGGAACTGAACTGCTATCCTTCTGGCTTGTGGATTAAGTTGATGTTCTCTGATCTAATTGAAATTACTGTGGCTGCTATACATTATAATCCACAGATCTCTATAAAGCCCTCCATTAACAACTTAAACATGGTGGAAAGCAGGTCTCCCTGGTTCCTATTAACTGATGACTGCTGATTATGGACTTCCTGCGTTTAAGGCTTTTAAGTAATTAGCTCGTCTTAACCCTCCACACTCTCCTCCATTTCTTATTTACATCAGCTCCACCCTGTTCAGATCTGGCCCCAATTCATCGTGGCTAAACCTTTCACTGATTACATACTAGAGCCGCACACTATATCAGAGTTACCACCTGATCGTCAATATTCAGATCTGTGTGAAGCATAAATGTGAATATTGAGGGACACTCCACAATGTCCATACAAATTAAAAACATAAAAACACTAATACATTTACTTTTTTGAGCATTTATGTATAGTGATGGGGAGGCTCAAACATAATGTTCTAGAAATTAAATGGCCTTTTCTAATCTCTAAAGAGTAGTCCCAGTCAAAAGGAAAACACAAGATTCAAAAAGTTAAAAAACAGCTTCAAGGCATAATTACAAAGGTTGATTCAGAAGTTGCTGATATGGTCATCAATCATAGTGTTTCTGGTAAAACTTGAAAAGAAAAAAAAAATCTATCGATCCATCTATCTATCTATAAAATATATTGTTTACAAGTGCTTGTTAATGATCAGACTCAGACTTACTCAGTTATTGCACCAAACAAATGATCTTTATCCCACTGTTTACAAACTAATGTAAACTTTTTTTTTTATTTTTTTTTTATAATTAGTCATTATCATCTATGGTTTCTCCTCTCACATCTAAGACCAGCCCAGAATGGGTCGGACGTGACGTAAGGGCTCTCTCGCCAAGCTTGGGCCGAATGAAAGCCTTGTGGTTTGATTTACTGGAGAAGGCACTTAGAGAGATCTCCCCAGAGAAGGCAGAGATACAGACAGAGAGCTGCAACAGGAGGAGGTGCCCTTCTATAGCCTGAAACATGAGAACTATAACGATCAAAGGATGAAACTGAAAGGCACAAGCGAGCCCCCTGCTGGTTACACAAAAAATTGGTAATATAAAGTAATAACAAAATTGCATATATTAAAGAAAACATGTTGTTATATGTACCAAAAGAAAGACTGTGATGATCCACTGCTAAAGAATAGGGAAAAAAGTGAATCTCTTAACAGTATTTTACTGTGAAAAAAGAGCATTACAGCTATAAAATTTAAAATGACTATATAATTCAGGTCAATACCAGCTAGGACCAATAGACTCAGGGACAGCTGTCATCATACTGAATGGGAACTGTTGATTTGTTTTATTTGTT